TTTTTTTGTGTTTTTAGTAGAGATGGAGTTTTGCTATGTTGGCCAGTCTGGTCTTGAACTCCTGACCTCAGGTGATCCGCCCACCTCAGCCTCCCAAAGTGCTGAGATTACAGGCGTGAGCCACCACGCCCAGCCTGTTCACTTTCTTATCTGTGCCTGGCACAGAGTAAGGGCTCCATAAATATTTGGGGAAGGAATACATGAATGAATATGTGATTGACTTCAGTGTAAAGATAGGATCCCTGCAAAGCCCTAGGGCAGACAAGAAACCAGTTTGACTGCTCAGAGAGGAGGGAGAGCAAAGGTTGCAGAGGCTCCTTGGCACCAGACTGCCAAGCCAGGGAGTTTAACTGAGCTTGCTGGGAGGACACTCACAGAATGATGCCTTAGGCGCCAGTCAGTGTTTACATGGTGCTGCCGTGGCCACCTCCCTCTGCTTGGCTCTAATGGAGGGTCTGCAAGGGCATCCTCTCTGGGCTGGGTGGGGTCTCTCTGGGAAGATCTGGATCTGTTTGGTCTGCCCTCAATTTGTGTAAGTAAAAGGAAGATACCAGAGCTTCCTTGGGGAGCTGCCGAGAGCCCTAATTGAATTAAGCTTTTCCTGGGAAGATTCCTCAAGCCATAAACTGCACTGTGACTGTAAATTAATGAGACCAGTGCCTGTAAACCATACAAGAAGGCAATCTTGTTAATTTATAGTTGTACCTGGACAGGTTTACTTATGGCTTCTCTTTGCTTTTATGTGTATTGGGAATGGGTGGGCTGGGCCAGAATCTCCTTTCTATGGCAGGTTTATTTGTATAATATGAATAAATAAAACATGTCAATGGTAAAAACAAAATAAAACAACAAAAATAAAACCCAACAGTACAGAGGGTATTGAGGTGAAAAGGAAAAGTCCCTCTCATTACTTCTGTGACCACTCCCACTGTCATACATTCCAGAGGTTACCACTGTTTACTGTCTTGTCCATCTTTTTTAGAAATTCTCCATGCATATATTGAGTATGTGAGTATGTGTACATGCAGGGCAAATTTAGTTTTCATAAAGCCATTGCATAAAGGAAAAGAGCTCTAGGCTGGTAACTGGGGACCTGGGTCCTAGTCCTAACTCGCCTCTTTCCTGCATATTGACCTTTGCTGAGCTGTGTTTGCCTTCCTGGGCCTTAGTTTCCCTATCTGTCAATTTCATCTTGAAGGGCTCTCTGGGGAAAGGCAGTCATTCCAGGGAAGCCCCGGTTCTGTTGAGGCCTAAGCAGACTCTGAGGCCGTCAGACGGAAAACTCCGCAGCTCTGTCCTTTGGGAGTAGGCCAGTGCTGTCAGTGAGCCCTGGCTTCAAAGCACAGAATTCAGTACAAGTACAGATCACGGTCATCTCTAAGTCCAGCTGAGGGTTACAGGGTTGAAGAAATGAGCCCACAGGGAGCCAGCCGTCCTGCTGGGGAAGTGAGACAACATACAAGGGAGAAAGCACAGGTGGGAAATTGGGTGGTTCAGGCTGGATGCTCAGGGGAATCAGAGGAAAGGAGGAGAGATGAGGGAAGCTTCTTAAGGGAGGTGACCTTGAGAGATGGGCTGGGGTAGAAGAGGAACATCATTCAGGAGGGGTTGCTAAGGGCTTCTGGTTTAGGTGAGAGGATGGACTGGATGATCTGATCTGTTGTTGTTCTAGGATCTAGGTTTCTAAGATTGTTTCTGAGTCCATGATAAAGTTTGTGGAGCTCCCAAAATAGTCTGCAGACAGTTGTATATATGTGATTTTATCAAGGGAGAAGGCCCATAGTAGACTCAGATTTATTTATTTATTTTTTTTTTAACACAGTTGATTGTCATGTGTAAGACACAGATTCTGAAAGCTAAGAGCTTCTGCCTTTTATGCGGTGGGAACTTGAAGAAGGATATAGGACTAACTGGTCTGGGATGAATCCTTGGAGGAGGTGGTACTTAATTCTGGGATGAGTAGGGTTTGCCTGGGGGACTGCAGAATATCTTCCAGGCAAGGAGAAGGACCCTAGAGTGAGTAAGCTGTGTCCTGAGAGAAGGGAAAGGAAAATGAGTCCTTAAAGTAGAGAAAAACTTCTCTGGGTTGGAAATCAAAGCAGATGCAGCATGCTCCGCCCACACTGTGCAGGCAGGGAAGGTACTGGCTTCTTTATGCCCTCTGGGTCTGCTGGGTTGCCATGGTGAGCCCAGCGCACACCCAGTAGGTGACTCAGACCTCCTGCCCATTTCCCTAAAGCGGCTAGGGCCCAGGCACATCTCTGAGGTTCTGCTAGCGGGGAAGCAGCCACCTTTGAGGCAGCAGACGCAAGAGAAAGCCTCTGAAGGTGGACAGGCTTTGAGGATACAGCTAGGAAGCCCTGACTGACCTCTGCTGTTTCCTGGACTGAAGGTCCCTGTTCTCTGTTCTCACTCTGCTTCTGGGAGTGAAAGTATAGGATATTCTAATTCTAGAATGTTAGAGATGGAAAGATCCTTATCATAGCTTGTAACCCCCAGGCCCAAAGGGGAAATGGAGATGTTTTGATCAAGTTCTCTTTTTCCAGTTGAGGTCCGAGACGATTGGCCCCAGGCCACACATGAATTAATGGCAGAGGCAGGCATCTTCCCTGCTCTGTTAACTAACTCAGGCGTCTCTAGGCAGTAAGACCTGGACAGTGGATCAAGAGGAGGGGCTGTGGTTTTTGACTTGGATATTGGTAGCACTGGCAAATCTCAGTTCTTCCAGTGGGCCCTTTAAGCCTTGAGAAGGGCAGCTTCCTCCTGGGGTATCTATTAGGGAGCTGTCCTTGGCAGAGAAACCACTGGTCCTTACACTGGTCCTTACAGGGGAGCCAAGTACAGGTCTTAGGACCTCTGAGCCAGCCCAGAGGCTTCTGCCTTCACGCATTGAATCCCTCAGGTCGTGTAATCCATCACAAGCCAGTGTTGCACTTGGGTGCTGTACTTTTTATAGCATCTTTGTCATCAAGCCAGGGAATAAGATCTTACCTCCCCAGTGGCCAGGGCCCACAGGAATCTGGATGCTGTACCAGGTAGGCATTATGCCAGCGTGAGGCGGGGCCAACTCACCTAGCTGGGCAAAGCCTAAGACTCAGATTACAGCAAGATGGGGGAGGGGGAGCAGGCACCCTACCCCACCCTCTTCCCTAACTGAGCCCTACCTGCCTTGCTGGTGGAAGGTGCAGAGATGCATGAGAACTGCTTTTCTTACCGAGCTCAACGCCTTGTTTGAGAAATGTGGTTCAGATGCAGAACAGTCAGACAGTAGAAAGGGGGTGTGATTTGAAGTACAGGTAGAATTCTATGGGAATTTAGAGATGGGAGAGAGAACTTCGTACCTGGGAAGATCCCGGGAGGCTGTGCAAGTGATCACTGAGCTAGGCCTTGAAGTATATGTAGGATTTAGATGAGATACTTGAGTGAAATCTCACTGGGCACAACCAGAAGCTTCTACTTGGTTCAGAACCTCTGGATTGCAGAAGAATGCCCCAGAGCAGGTCCCTTTGGAAACATGCCCACAGGCATGGTGTTTAGAAAAACAAGCTTTGCAGCTTGACAGAACTGTGTTCGAATCTCAGCTTCACTACTTTGTTGCACCGTGACCTTGGGCAAGTCACTTATCCTGTTTTAAAAGTTTTTTTATTTAATTTTTTATTTTGAGATGGAGGTTCTCTCTGTCACCCAGACTGGAGTACAGTGGCACAATCTTCGCTCACTGCAACTTCTGCCTCGCTGCTTTAAGCGATTCTCCTGCCTCCCAAGTGGCTGGGATTACAGGCTTGTGCCACCACGCCTGGCTAATTTTTGTATTTTTAGTAGAGATGAGGTTTCATCATGTTGGCCAGGCTGGTTTTGAACTCCTGACCTCAAGTGATCTCCCCACCTGGTCCTCCCAAAGTGCTGGGATTACAGGCATGAGCTGCCGTGCCTGGCCTGTGGAGGTGACTTGCCTAGTGTCATCTAGCCTAACTGTGGCACAGTTTAAGCTGGACTCCAGGGCTTCCCCTTCCAAGTCCTGTGCTATTTCTCCGACATAACATTTATGTTATGTTACCCCACCTAGCTGGAGTAGCAAGACTGATCGCCTGAAACATTTAATGAGCAAAGCGTGATTTTGTATGACAACTTGATGTGTAGCTATAAAAGCACTCAATTTTGCAGAACAGATGATGGTTTTAAAAATAGTCCCAGCTATGATAAGTGCTAGGTGAGTGATGCCAGTATTAAGGGGAGAAGGTGTGCCCTTTTTAAGCTACATCATCCTGTCTGAGCCTCAGTTTCCCCAGTCTAAAGGGGTTGATGTCTGTAAAGCCCTGAGCACATTAAAAGTACTCAGTAATGGCAGTTGCTACTATTCCTGGAGCCTTAAAGGAAGAGGTGAGGGTGGGGTCAAGCACTGGAGGATGGTTTTAGGTATATGGACTAGAGGGCATTGGGGTAAGCTGAGTACTGAGGTTGGGGGTGCAAGTGAGACCATGAGCTGAATTGTCTGCGTTTGTTCTTTAGTTGGGAGGTGGGGAGACACATGTTCAGCAATTGGATTCATGCTGATAAATACTGTACTGAAGATGGAAAGATGGATAAATATAATCCCAGCCTCAAGGGAGAGGCTGGCATGTAAACAGGCACTTGTGATGTGCTGTGAAGTGCTGCAGCAGGAGCCTGCAGAGCTGTTGGTGCGCAGGAGGGAGGAGTGGAGGTGGATGGGTCAGGAAGGCTTCCCAGAGCTTTGAGCTGGGTCCTCAAAGTTAAGAATGAGTGTTTTGGCCAGGTGCGTTGGCTCACACCCGTAATCCCAGCACTTTGGGAGGCTGAGATGGGCGGATCACTTGAGGTCAGGAGTTCCAAACCAACCTGGACAACATGGTGAAAGCCGTCTCTACTAAAAATACAAAAATTAGCCAGATGTGATGGCGCAAGTCTCTAATCCCAGCTACTTGGTAGGTTGGGACAGGAGAATGGCTTGAACCCAGTAGGCGGAGGTTGCTATGAGCCGAGATCGCCTCACTGCACTCTGGCCTAGGTGACGGAGCAAAACTCTGTTTCAAAAAGAAAAAAAAAAAAGAGTGAGTGTGCTTAGCTCACACAGAGGGGAGAACTGGAGAAGGACACAGAGACGTGAATGATGCAGAGCCATAGATCATGCAGAACCATTGACCTTTGTTTCTGAAACTCATTGTGATGTTTCCAACCCTTCCACCTCATCCCCAAACACGCCTCACTCACCTGCTTGGCTGGGCAGAGAAGCTAACTGCACCTGTGATGGCTGTCGCCCTGGTACAGGCAGTGAGGACAGAGCTACCTACCGCTTACTGAGACCCTGCCAGTGCTTGGCTTTGTTCTGAGGGTTTCGCTTAGTGCATCATTGTCTTCTGCACTATGAGACGCCCCGAAGGTGCGAGTCATGGTTTCTAGCTTTATTTAGCTTACAGCTACTTTAGGAAAGTGAAACAGGGAATCATTAAGTGCTCAATGATTGCTGTGCTGTTGCCTCAAAGAACAGGAGACCTTTAGGGAGGGGGGAAATGTGGCTGGAATGAGCATGGAGCAGAGATCTTTGTGCAAACACCTTCACCAGACCCTTCTAAGAGGGAGGGAAAGTGACCAATCAGGCAAGGACCATGACAGTGGTCAAGGCTCTTTGCAAGCTCTGAGTACTGGGTATGAACAGGCACCTGTTAGGGGGCCCAGCCAGCTGCAGGAAAAGTCTGGGTGAGGAGTCAGTGAGAAATAAGACTGGGTAGGTGGGTGGGGCTGGATGAAGCATCTGGAACTCCAGAGGGGTGTAGACTTGGCCAGGGCTTCTCAGACTGGTGGCAGACACAACCACACTTGTCAAAGGCTTGCCCCTTCACTCCATCTCCACTATGAGCATCTCCAACCTGGGTGACTCCCGGGCCTCCCGAATGGTCTTGTGGCTCCACTGCTGTCTGCCGGCAGGCAGCTCTCCACAGAGCAGCCACAGGGAGCTTTGAGACCTGTAAACCAGAGCATGGTGTTCCCCCTGCTGAAAACCTTTCAAATGCTTCCTGATGAACCTGGGAGAAAATGCAAGGAAAGCGTGGCCCACCCCTTTCTCCACCTCATGCCCCTCTACCCTTTCCCCTACTACAGTCATACCAGCCTTCCTGTGTCCCTCATGCACATCTGCCTTGCCAGGCCCGTTCCTCCATACAGCTGTGGCACTTGCTCGTTCCCCAGCCTGGAGCACTGCCCCTAGACTGCCGCATGCCGGCGCGCTCATTCAGGTCCCACATCAAACGTCATCTCTTCAGAGAGGCCTCCCTGACTGTCCAGTCTAACGTGCAACACGCGCCCCACCAACTGCCTCTGCCCCCATGTCAGACACTATTCTGGATCTGAGGACACAGCCAGGAACAAGACAGAAGAGGCTCCTGATGTCAGGGAGCTCCCATGCCAGCATGGAGCATTGGATGTGGACACAGCAGTGTCAGGCAGTGGTAAGTGTCCTGAAGAAGGCAGACATGAGGGAGAGGCGGGGCTGCTGGATGGCCAACAAGCGTTCTGTTCTCTAAGGAGCTGGCGTCTGAGCTGAGACCCAAAGGACAAGAAGAGCCCATCTTCCAAAGACTAGGGCCCCTGAGAAGGGTGTGTTTGAGGAACCTGAAGTGCGGGGGAAGAAGGGAAGCGTCGTGTGAGAACGGAAAAGAGGGCAGAAGGCAGATCATGTTGGGCCCGTGGGCCTGGGGCTAGGATTCATGGTGCTGTATGGTGCCATCAAAGGCTCTTGGGTAGCATAACATGGTCTGACCTGGGGAGGGATGTGCGGACAGCTTGGAGGTGTGATAGAGTCGGCTCAGGCCCTGGGCTGGCCCCAGAGTGCCCTGCCTCTACCAGCAGCTCAGCCTGGGTCTATGAGGGCAATAGAGTAAAGCTTCCCGACAGGCAGCACTGGCCAAGCCAGCAGTGAGATGGAAGCTGCAGCCTAGGAGAGCAGCTAGCAGGGAGAGGCAAGCAGGGTGCTGGAGCAGAGTGGGCGTGGAGTCGGGGGCACGTGGGGAAGGGAGGGGCTGAGTGGTCACCAGGCTCTGCTGGACTCCTGCCGGCCACCCCTCCCTTGGTGAGCCTCAGCGCCTGCAGGCAAACAGTCACCAGACCTGTCATGTGGGAGACGTGGCATTGGTGAACACCAGGGTTGGACATGCCTGTTCCCTGCTGAACCCTATGGTCATGACCTGGGAGTTGTCAGCTCAGGAAAGGGCAGACCTAGAATCAGAACCAGACTTTAGCGCTGGGAGGGATCCTAGAGACTGCAGGAGTCCAGGAGGAAAAGATAAGGGGTTAGGAAATCAAAAGACCTGGACTGAAACCCCTCTCCCCCACTTGCAGCTGTGTGGTCCCCGTGTGCAAAGGTGTGGCGGTTACATGAGAATGCTGTGGCGAGCACCTAGCAGTAAGGGCTTCTAAATGTCTGACATGATGACAGAGCCTGTCCCAACCCCCTCAGCTCACAGAGGAAGCAGAGGCCAGGGCGGAAGTGACTTGCTCAAGGGCCACAGAGCTGCATTGAGCTCAGCTCCCTGACCTCTAGTCCAGGCTCTCCTGTGATGCTATAAGTGGTCCTTCTTCCCACATCGTTCCCTCTGCAGAGGTGAGGCGGCCTCCTGCCTGTCCCACTTTCTTTTCAGCCTGCCTCTGAGCACCTACCATGCAGCAGACACAGCTGCGTGGTTGGTGGTTCCCACCCTGGAAGCGCTGACACTTGTGTGTGGGAGACAGACACGTAAACAGCTAAAACACAAGGCAGGCTGAAGTGCCGCAGGGACACAGCACGTTGCAGGTGGGCCCTGGGGGCAGATGGGGCTCCATCTGGCACTACCACTTACAATGGAATGGCAGTGAGGCCCAAACCGAAGTTAGAACGGATCAAGAGGGCCTTGGATTAAATGCAGAGGAGCGTGGGCTCTTTCCTGAAGATGGGGCAACTGCAGAGGTTCTGGAAGAGCCATGGACCATGACTGGCCTGTGTTTAGGATGAGGGCTTTCCTGGCTGATGGAGAAGGGACTAGATGAAGCTTTTTCCCCAGTGTTCTTGGCTCTGGGAATTTTCCGCCTCCTCCTTCCATGGATAATTATCCTTCCTAAGAAACTGATCAGATGGGAAACTGCAGGAAATTGTTTGGGACAGGGATTGTGTAGGAGTTGGGGGGAGAGTGGAGAGGATGTAGCCGGAGAGGGGGATCCGTGCCAAGCAGCAGGTGGTGGCTCCCTTCAGAGGGGAGGGAGGGAAGCCTGGGCAGGGCTGGGAATTTAGAGCAGGAAGATACAGGTGCTTCTGGGGGAGCTGAGTCCCTCAAAACTCCTGGTCTTGTCCTCGGTTGAGGATAGGGATTAGGGTGACTGGCAGGGTCTGACTTTTCTGGGTCTACAAGAGCTGGGGAAAGTGTGAGGCAGTGTGGCCCAGTGGGTGGGGCCAAGCCCAGTCCCAGCTTTGCTTGGAAATTCCTGTATTGTGGGCCAGGGTTAGTTAGGAGTGGTGAGTGTGCACTGGGCATCCTCCCTTGGCACAGAGCAGTCCTCCTCCTGTCCCCTGCTCCCAGCAGACCCAGAGCTTGAGTGGTGGACCTGGCTGCTGTCCCTTTGCTAGTTAAGCAGCAGGTCTCCATGTGACTGAACCACAGGGACGGGTGCTTAGCACTGAGGAGAAGGGGCTCCCCACTTATGAAGCCAGGAGCAAGACTGCCTCTAGAGGGGCCCAGAAGGCTCTGCAGGTGGAGATTCAAGGCATCCTTCTGGGCAGTCAGGGGCCAATAGAGACTGCAGAGTCCAACAGACCTGTCTGAATCCCAGCTCCACTACCTGCCTGCTATATGCCTATAGGCTGATTATCTGACCTGTGTCATTTTTCTGCAGATAATTCTGGGGTAACCACAATTCTGACTTGGATCATCATCAGTTGATCTTACCTGTTCTTGAACTTCATCTGAATGGAATCATAGGTACTCTTGTGTGTCTGGCTGCTTTTGCTCAGCCTCTCTGTGAGATTCCTCTTCACTGTCACATGTAGCAGAGGTTTGTTCATTTTATTGCTGTTCGGTGTTACCGCGTATGAATGCAGCACAGTTGGCTCACTCTCCTGTTGATGGGCTTTTGGATTGGTTCCCTTTTTTTGACAATTGTGAATAAAGCTGCTCTGAGCATTCTTGTACTCCATAGGGTTTTGTGAGAATTAAATGAAATAATCTGTGACAGTAAAGTGTTTAATACTGAATTTTGACTCAGAGCAGGTGCTCAGAACATTTTCCCTCCAGATTTTTTTTTTTTTTCCAGAAAAAAGGAAGAAATAAAAAAAATTCAAACACTGCTTAAGTATATAAAGAAGAAAAATGCAAGTCATACCCCTTTTACTCCCTTGCTTCTCGGGCTGAGCACTCTGAATAGTTCATCCTGGACTTTACAGTGGTGTGAACCGCTTTTTCATAAAAAATGTTAAGCTGGGCGCAGTGGCTCACCCCTGTAATCCCAGCACTTTGGGAGACCAACGTGGGAGCATCATTTGAACCTGGGAGTTTCAGACCAGCCTGGGCAACCTAGGGAGACCCTGTCTCTACAAAAATAAAAAATTAGCAGGTCATGGTGGCACAGGCCTGTGGTCCCAGCTACTTGGGAGGCTGAAGCGGGAGGATTGCTTGAGCTCAAGAAGTCGAGGCTGCAGTGAGCTATGATTGTGCCACTGCACTCCAGTCTGACAGAGCGAGACTCTGCCTAAAAAAAAAAAAATTGGCATAAAAGCAACCATGCTGGTCTGGCATGGTGCCTCATGCCTGTAATCCCAGCACTTTGGGAGCCCGAGGCAGGCAGATCACCTGAGGTCAGGAGTTGGAGACCAGCCTGGCCAACATGGTGAAACCCCATGTCTACTAAAAATACAAAAATTAGCTGGACATGGTGACACGTGCCTGAAGTCGCAGCTACTCGGGAGGCTAAGGTGGGAGAATCATTTGAACCCGGGAGGCAGAGGTTGCAGTGAGCTGAGATTGCACCACTACACTCCAGCCTGGGTGACAGAGCGATTTGCTCTCAAAACAAAACAAAATCATGCTGTCTGTACTCTTGCAGCTTAACTTTTTAAATTAAATCGGATCTTTTGAAAGAGTTTCCTTATCTGCATCAAGGGAATAGCTTCAAGATTGAGAGTCTGGGATGGACCCTGAAACCAGTCACTTGCGGCCTTTCACCCTGGCTGGGCAGATTTCCTTCTAGGTGGAACCCAGGATCTGGCTTCTGGAACCTGGGGTGCAAATCTTGGCTCTGTTGCTCCCTTTCTGGGTGTGTTCTCAGGCTTAAATGCCCTGAACTTTGGTTTTCTCATCTTTAACGTAGGAGGACCCTCAGAGAGATACCATGAGGTTTAAATGATATAATGTACATGAAAGAACAAAGCAAAATGAAAAGTGATGTGTTCTGGTTATTATGTAAAATCGTGGGCTGTCAGAGCTAGAGGAAATCTCTGAGAAGTTAACCCAGCCCCATCATCTTATCTGTGAGGAAACTGTAGCCCAGGGAAGGTCACAGAGCCAGCAAGTAATAGAGTCAAAACTGAACCAAGGGTTTCTGACTCCCAGAAGTCTGCTCTGTGCCTCTTCCTGGGCAGTGGGAACTCCCCTGGAGGGTTCTCACTGTCTCTGGGCCAGAGCTTAGCTCTGACCAACTCACTTCTTAACTGTAGGGCTTCCTGCTACAGTGGAAAGGCACTTTAGAAAATGTCTAGGGCTCAGACCGGGCATGGTAGCTCACGCCTGTAATCCCAGCGCTTTGGGAGGCTGAGGTGGGTAGATCATGAGGTCAGGAGTTCAAGACCAGCCTGACCAAGATGGTGAAACCCTGTCTCTACTAAAAATACAAAAATTAGCCAGATGTGGTGGCAGGCACCTGTAATCCCAGCTTCTCAGGAGGCTGAGACAGGAGAATTGCTTGAACCGGGGCAGCAGAGGTTGCAGTGAGCCGAGATGGCGCCCCTGCACTCCAGCCTAGGCAACAAACTGAGACTCCGTCTCAAAAAAAAAAAAGAAAAAAAAATGTCCAGGGCTCCATTTCTTCTTCTCTCCCCATCCCTAGCTGAGGGACTTCCAGGCAGTGAAGTGTGCCCAACATCCTTTGGTCTAAGAAGGCAGGAGAGTGGGTGTTTGGATGGGGCAGGAAATGCTGACCCAATAGGGCACAGCACCCTTCCTGTCCTAACTACCTCCAAACCTGGGCCTTAGTTCCCTGCTCCCACCAGGCTCACTCCCATCCCCAAGAAGTCAAGCTAGGACCCCACCCCCTGACCTCTTAGATGAAGTCCTGGCTTTGAGTAGTCTCTTACACTTCTTCTAGCTCAGTGTTTGGGTCTCCTCAGCTTCAAGAAGATAAAGAGGGGGCCCCCATACTTACGAGATTACAACCTAGGTTGACATCAAGAATCAGGAAATGGGCCAGGTGTGATGGCTCATGCCTGTAATCCCAGCACTTTGGGAAGCCAAGCACGAGTGGGTCACTTGAGGCCAGGAAATCTCTGAGAAGTTAACCCAGCCCCATCATCTTATCTGTGAGGAAACTGTAGCCCAGAGAAGGTCACAGAGCCAGCAAGTAATAGATGCAAAGGATGAAGCCCAGAGAGGGGATGGAACTTGGCCAACATGATGAAACCACACCTCTACTAAAAAATACAAAAATTAGCCGGGTATGATGGTGCATGCCTGTAATCCCAGCTGCTGGGGAGGCTGGGGCATGAGAATCACTTGAACCCGGGAGATGGAGGTTGCAGTGAGCTGAGATCACACCACTGCACTTCAGCCTGGGCAACAGAGTGAGACTCCGTCTCAAAAAAAGAAAATCAGGAAATGAAACCCTGACGGGCATGGGCTAGGCCTTTGCCTCACCCACCCTGCTCCCTCCCAGGAAGCATTTGGCATGATAAGATTTCCATGGTACTGGGCCAGTTGGGCCCCACTGTCCCGGATATTTAGCTACCATGTCACAGTGCAGTACCAGGTACCAGGCAGTTGAAATGGCTCCTGGTGCTCCAGCTTCCGCCCTTCCCTGGAGCCACAGCTCATTAAGAAAGCACGTGGCAATGATAATCAGGGAACCAGGCGGGGCTGTCTGGGAGTGCCCTGTTGGCCCAGGGTGGGGGTTGGGGAGGGACTGCTAGCCCTGGTATCTGCTTTCAGGGTGAGGTCATGGAGTGACACTCATTCCAGTGGCAGTGAACAGTGATGAGAAAAAGTCCTGCTCTAATAGTAGGAGGTACCCCCACTTCATGTTGCAGTACGCTTTGTCTGGTCCTGTGCTAGACTCTCTGCCTTCATCATCTTGTGATCTGCCCACCTTGACCTCCCAAAGTACTGGGATTACAGGCATGAGCCACCGTGCCTGGCTTTTTTTTTTTTTTTTTAAAGAGATGGGGTTTCACCAAGTTGGCCAGGCTGACCACAAGGCCAGGTCAAGCCTCCCAAAGTGCTGAGAGTACAGGCATGAGCCACCACACCCAGCCACTATTATTATTATTAACCTCCCCATTTCAACTGGAAGCTGTGTGACTGGGCTCATTAGAACTATGGTCTGGGGGCGGGGTGGCAAAAAAGAAAAAAGAACCATGGCTCCTGCCTGAATTCTTGAGCCTCCTTGTCCTGCCTAGTGGTGGCTGCTTCTGCAGTTCTGGCTGCCCCAGCTATTTCCCCTGCCCTACTGGAGGGAGGCATGTGCACCTCGTGCCAGTGCCATGTGCAGTTTCACACGATAGGCCCTGCCCAGTCCCAGCAGCTAGCACAGGCCAGGCGGAAGTGGGCACTGACAAAGCCTTCCTTATCTCCTTCCTGGGCATGGGGCACTTACTTCTATGGGGTGGGCTGGTTGACAGACAAGTAGGCAAGCAGGCAACCTCTCAGCCTGCCTGGAGCTCTTGGCCCTTTGTGCTCAGCTTATCACCAGTGGGCTCTTATTCTAGAACCTGTGCCCTGAGGACCAGAGTGCCAACAGGAAGCAGTTACCAGGCCCGGCTTGAGGGCAGAGCGTGGCTTTTGGGATCAAATACCAGTTTGGTTGTTTCCTGGCTGTGTGTCATTTGAGCTAGTTTATTAAGCTCTGAGCCTCAATGTCTCTACTGGAAAATGGAAACAGTAGTGTCTACCTCATGGCATTGCTGAGGCTAAATGAGAAGGCCCGGTAGTAATTCTCCCTTCCCACAGTGGCGTGTGCTGGAGGGCTGCACTGTGTCTCCTGAGGCATTGCACATGGGTTTTGAGCAGAGGCCTGCAGGCTAGACCCAATCTGGGGAGCTACTGACAGTGGAGCTCCATTCCCCATTACTAATGTGCCAGATAGCTCCTGCTTCTTTCCTTGCAAGGCACACACAGAACCAGGGCACGCTGCTACTGCTAGGGGTCTTAGAGAGACCAGCAGTTTAGTGAGTGACCTGACCAAGGTCACACAGCAAAGGAGTGACAGACCTGGCAATAAACCAGGGCTCCTGTGCCCCATACCCACCATTTGGTCCAGAAAACTGGGGCTCAGAGCTGCAGGCAGCATGGTTGGGGCTGTGGCTCTGGAGTCAGACCATTTCTCTCTGCCCCGGTTTCCTCAGCTGTAGAATGAGGAGGGTGATCCCTGTGTCAGAGGGCTGCTAGGAGAATCATGTGGTTGAAGTATACAGAGCATCAAAGTGAGGCACTCAATAGAAGGTAGTTTTTAAAAGAAAAAGTGGGGGCCGGGCGCGGTGGCTCAAGTCTGTAATCCTAGCACTTTGGGAGGCCGAGACGGGCAGATCACAAGGTCAGGAGATCGAGACCATCCTGGCTAACGCGGTGAAACCCCGTCTCTACTAAAAAACATACAAAAAACTAGCCGGGTGAGGTGGCGGGCGCCTGTAGTCCCAGCTACTTGGGAGGCTGAGGCAGGAGAATGGCGTAAACCTGGGAGGTGGAGCTTGCAGTGAGCTGGGATCCGGCCACTGCACTCCAGCCTGGGCGACAGAGCGAGACTCCGTCCCAAAAAAAAAAAAAAAAAAAAAAAGGGGGGGGGAATGGGGGATTGGCACCATATTCCAAGCAAGGACCAGTTTTGGAGTGGACCATCCTGGGTGTGTGTCCCAGCTCTGCTACCACTTTGCTGTGTAACCTCAACCAAGTTGCATCCCCTCTCTGGGCTTCATCCTTTGCATCTGTGAAATAG